ATAATTCTGATAATTTCTTCACATTTTTTTTTTCAGTATTTTTATTTATTTAGTGTTGAAAGAGTTACAGAGAGATAGGGAGAGACATAAAGAGAAAGACATCTTCTATCCTCTGGTTCGTGCCCCAGATGGCTGCAACAGCTAGGACTAGGCCATGCTGAACCCAGGAACCAGGAGCTTCATTTGGGTCTCCCACATGGGTGGCAGGGGCCCAAACAATTGGGCCATCCTCTGCTTCTTTTCCTAGACCATTAGCAGGGAGTTGGATATTAAGTGGAGCAGCCAGGACACAACCAGCACCCATATGGGATGTCATCATTGCAGGTGGCAGCTTTACCTGCAATGCCACAACACCAGCCCCTTCCACCTTTTTCTGGAAAGTTTTTTAGAGGTTTCTAGAGTAGTCACAGTTCTTTTTTCTATTTTCCCACTGTATTGAATTTTTCTCTCCTAATTTAGATCTGAATCTTCTTGCTCTCAGAAGAGAAATTTGTCATTTCTCTAGTTTTAAACACTTTCCCTACAGTATTCCCAATGGGATTTTAATACACTTAACAGAGACTTTAAGTAGTAACTATTTCTCTTTTGCTCACTGAAAAATCCACAGAGATGGAAATAGTCCTGACCTGTGATAGGTGCCATTCACTAATTTTTTTGATGAGTTGGAACTCCCTGAATATGGCATGCGTGGCTCTTTGTAATCTGATCTTAGCCTGCTTTTTCATCTCTTCCTTGCATATGTACTACACAACTTTTTGCTAGTTCTAGGTGTTTCTCTTTTTCAAAAAAATTCTTCTATTAGAGAGAGAGAGAGAGAGAGAGCACACAATTGGAGAGAGAACTTCCATCCACTGGTTCATTACCCAAATGAAACACAATACCCAGGACTGGGCCAAGTAAAAGCCAGAACTGTGTCCCTCATGTAGGTTGTGGGGAATCAAGTACTTATGCCATCACTGCTGCTCCCAGGGTACACATTAGCAGGAAGCGGAATTGAAAGCAGAGTAGCTGGGATTCCAGTCAGGCACTCTTGATTCTGGATGTGGCTGTCCCAAGGGCTGATTTAACCATTGTAGCAAATGCCTGCCCTTCCCTGCCAAGGAATGTGTGTGTGTCTGTCTGTCTGTCTGTCTTTCTGTCTTTTTCTTCCCTCCCCCTCCCCTCCCCTTTCCTCTCCTCCCCTCCCCTCTTTCTTTTTTCGTTTTTTTTTTTTTTTTTTTTTTTTAAATTTATTTGAAAGTCAGGGTTACACAGAGGAGAGGCAGAGAGAGAAAGAGGTCTTCCATCTGCTGGTTCACTCCCCAGTTGGCCGCAGTGGCTGGAGCTGCGCTGATCCGAAGCCAGGAGTCAGGAGCTTCTGGGTCTCCCACATAGGTTCAGGGGCCCAAGGACTTGGGCCATCTTCTACTGCTCTCCCAGGCCATAGCAGAGAGCTGGATCGGAAGTGGAGCAGCCAGGTCTTGAACCGGCACCCATATGGATGCCAGTGCTTCAGGCCAGGGCGTTAATCCACTGCACCACAGCACTGGCCCCTTATTTTTTCTTTCATTCTATTCCTTCCTTTTTCCTCCTTCCTTCCCTCCCTCCCCTCTCCCTCCTTCTCTTGGCTCTCTCTTCTTTCTTTCCTTCCTTCCTTTTTAAATATTTATTTACTTATTTATTTGAAAGGCAGAGTTATGGGGTAGGTAGGGGGAGGATAGAGAGAGATCTTCCATCTGCTCGTTCACTCCCCAAATGGCCACAATGGCTGGGGCTGGGTCTTGATGAAGCCAGGAGCCTGGAACTCCATCAGGGTCTCCCACATGGGTAGTAGGAACCCAAGCACTTGGGCCATCTTCCTTCTGTTTTACCAGGAGATTTAGCGGAAAGTTCAATGGGAAGTGTAGCAGCCAGAACTCAAACCTGCACCCATATGGGATGCTGCTGTCTTAGGCGGGGGCTTAACCCTCTATACCACAACAGCTGCCCCCAGGTATTTTTCTAATACATTGTTCCTTCTGCCAGAAATGCTATTCTTGGAGACTCTCCTCTCAGATACCACAATATGTAGTTAACATCTTTATTATTGAAAATAACTGATGTATTATAACTTTTGGTATGTCTTTTTTTTTTTCCTTGAAACCACAAACTAATCCATTTATTAGTTTAGACACACTCTTACTTTTGTTACAAGAAAAATTTATATTAACAGGAGTTCATAGTATAATAATATTCTTATAATAAATTATCAGTAAATATTCTTGAACTGATACTTTATTTATTCCTGGAACTGTAACCTATAAGACTAAAAGAAAAGTATATTTCTTAATGAAAATTGAATACAGGGTGTTTTTTTGTGTGCTAAACTACAGTATATTTTGGTTAGAGTCCTATTTCAGTGGAGAGTATTGAATATGCAGTACATATCTTTTAAACATTTTGCTCTCATTTAATTATAGCTCTTCTTTCAAATAGCCTGCATAAAATCATTCAGTAAAAATTTATTTAGCAGCTTATTATGTTCCTGTCAATTGATTAGGTTCTGGCATAATTCAGAAGGTAATAAAACAAGACCTTTGGTTTCAATCCAGTGGACCAGATATAAATATAAAGAAATCATTTCAATATTTGTAGTTAAGGGTCATCATGATCTGGTTCAAGAAAGTTATCTAAATAGCAGCAAGTGAGAGAAATGGGAGCTCCTTAAATCTCTTGAAATATGATAAAGAAGTAAATATAATAGTTCCTTAGGAAATTAAAGAGATTCAAATAACTTTTGAACTTGGACTTGAATGATAATGGAGTCTTTTTGAATTGGAAAAGGCTTTTTTCTTTCTGTACCTATAGGTTAGTTGTATAGTCTAGATTTTATAAATGAGATGATACTGTATGTATATGTATATATATTTGATCTGATGTCTCATTCAGCATAATTATTTTGATATTCACCTATAGTTATATGTCTCAATAACTCATTTTTATTGTTATTTAGTATTCCATAATGTGAATTTGTCACATTTTGTTTATCCATCTGTCAACAGACATTTGTATTGTTTTCCTTTTTTATAATATTACAAATAAAGCTGCTGTAAATATTCATGTACAAGTTTTTGTATGGTAATGTACTTCTTTTCTCTTGTGTACACCTTGAAGGGGTATGTTGGGCAGTGTTTAATTTGGAAATTGCCATATTATTCTCCAGAATAATAGCAACTTTTTAGTTATCTCCCAACAGGATGTGTGATTTCCACTTGTACACATCCTCACCAGCACTTGCAGTTTTTGAAAAAATTTTTAAGTTTTGGAATCTTTACATTTTTAGACACTTTAATAGATATGTAGTATTATGATTTTAACTTTCATTTTCCTAATGACTAATGGTGTTGAGCATACTTTTGAGTTTTTACTTACCATCCATATATGTTTTTAGGTAATATTACTATGCAACATTTTTGCCTATTTTTAAAATTAGATTGTTGTCTTATTGGTATGAGAATCCTTTTCATATTCTACATACAAATGCTTTATCAGATATATGATTTTCCAAGATTTTTCCTGTTCTTTGGCTTAACCATTGTCATTTTCTTAACAGTTTCTGAAGATCATCACTTTGCAGTTTGCTTGTGTTCAGTTTATCGATTTATTTGTGAATTTTGTTGTATTTAAGAAATCTTGCTTAATTCAAGACCACAAAAAATTTCTCCTGTGCTTTCATCCACAAATTTTATAGTCTCGGGTTGTACATTTAAGCCAGTGATCCATTTTGAGTTAATTTTCTTTGTATGCTGTGGAAGCCACGGATCCAAAATCAGATTTATACATGTAGATATCCATTTGTCACAACATTATTCTTTGAAGCTTCTGTTAGAGGGACATGTTAATAGAACATACACCATAGAATTTTTTTAAGGCTTAAATAATGAAAAAATACCAAAGGGCCTAGAATTGTGCATATTGCAGTGCAAACTCTGTGTAATATGTGACTGGTGTTCCTTTCCTACCTTTAGAAAAGAGTTGTTGTTTTTTCTAAATTTTAAAAATTCTATTTTCTGGACCTTTCTTTTTTGTTTAGTTTTAATTTTTAACAGATGCAGTGTGTTTCATAGATATAGTTCTTAGAAAAAAAAAGATTTTCCTTTCCTTCTCTCTCTCTTTCCCCTTCCTTTTCCCCCTCCCCCTTCCTTTCTATCTCTCTCCTCTCCCCCTTTCCTTTTAGTTCTTGAAATAATATTTTTAAGTTATGTTATACTCAAGGGCTTAATTCTCTACCTGTTAAGAGATCAAAAGGTAAAAAAGCAAAAATATCCTAGTTTAGTGGGTATTTAGTCAGGGACCATTAACAGTACTCAGATGGAAAGGTGACCATCTCACCCATATACAGTGAATTTAAAAGTAACCAGAGATCATTAAAACTATAGTAGTTTAACGTTTCTAACCATTGGTTTGACAAGACATGAAACAAAAGTTGACAAAAGTATATTTTCACCAATATTGATATACACACAAGCATTTCTTTTTTGTTTTTTTTTTTACTCTATTAATTTAGCACATTTCTTGTTTGTTCTTTTATTAATCATCTTCAACCTAAATAAACTAGAACATGATCATGAAATCTGTAAATTAATATGAACTGAAAATACTTGTATTTAATTTTTTACATTATTTATAATTTTAATGTTTTTATTTTTTAAAATTTCAACAGACATAAAATTTGCATATGAACTCCATACTATGAGATCTTTAATTACATGTATACTGTATTATCATTGTTTTATACTTAATGATTGTGTTCAAAGCTGCAGATGTACTCTCATCATATTTTTCAAATTTAGTGAGTTACAATTCCAAAATGTGTGAGAATTGTTCTCAATTGAATATACTTTATATATAAGACATATTGATAGATTGAACAAATTAGTCTTTTTTTAAACAAAGGAAATAAATGATTTTATTTTATTTTTATGGGTCCTTTAAATTAATAGCATTTATAATGGGAATCATGCCTTTTTTATTCCCCCCAGATTGGACAGCTGGCTTTTAAAGGAATGAGAAGACTCAATAGAATTCAGTCAATAGTGTTTGAGACTGCCTACAACACTAATGAGAACATGCTGATTTGTGCCCCTACTGGTGCTGGAAAGACTAACATTGCAATGCTTACAGTCTTGCATGAAATTCGCCAACACTTCCAACAAGGTGTTTTAAGAAAGAATGAATTTAAGGTAGGAAAATCATAAAGCAGGCAACAAATTTTTTTATGATTATAAAAATTAAGTTTTCAGCTGTGTATGTTATATGGAATATGGATATTCTTAAGGACCTTGTTCTTCAAGTTACAAAACAAATACTACTTGATTTACTTCATTATAATTAAGGCAACCCCTATTTGTAATATGAAAATGCTATTACCCTTGTGAAAAGATATGAAAATATATTTAGCTTTGAAGCAGAACCAATTTTCAAAGTGATGAGGCTGTGTAAACAAACTTCATTGTCCTTTAAATAGCTACACACTTATCCAACCGAGATAAGTGCTTTTCATATATCACTATTAAGATTTTTCACTGGAAGTAGCTAGAATCATATTTCACAGTAAATTGTGATTTGTATTGGCTACTTTGAAACAAATGACATTGTAGTTTTGGCTCATTCATCAAGCTAGTCTTCCTTTGGTACAGATTGTATATGTTGCTCCAATGAAAGCTTTGGCAGCTGAAATGACAAACTACTTCAGCAAACGTCTGGAGCCACTGGGCATCGTTGTGAAAGAATTGACTGGTGATATGCAGTTATCAAAAAATGAAATTTTACGAACTCAGGTATGTTGCTTGCCTACATGTTTTGTTTAACATCTTTTTTCAGGTAGTAGTTAATCTTATTAAATAAGCACAACTATAATGTATAACCCAAGCATAATATAATCAACTTTTTTTATTTGTAGCTACATCTTACCTCTGCTCTGCAAGAATATTGTTAGGTCCCAGATGTAGTTTAGGTGTTTGACAACAAATGTGGCTCTTCTAAAAAAGGTAGAGATTGAGGATATGGATAATACCAGAGTTGAATTTTAAGCAGAGAAAATATATAGACCTTGAAAGGATTCCACTAACACTGTAAGTGATTCCATTAGGATGATTAGTATGTAATATAGGGTTTTAGTCATTCTTTATTTCTTCAAAAGGGAGATTATTAAATCATGCACTGTATAGAGCACAATATTGGGTGAAATGAATAACAGCAAAAACATTTTAGACACACTTCCTGCCTTTAAGGATCTTATTACTAAGTAGGAAAAAAATAGATTAAGACCACAACTGGATTATTATTAATGAGAACATGTTAGTAAGGTAATGTACATAGTGTTTTTAAAAAATAAAATAATGACAACCAAATATTAATCAGAGACTTTGGAGAAATTTAATGGAAAATAGATGCTGCAACTTTTGAAAGAGTAGATGGGCATTGGTTTGAAATGTGGTTGGAGAATGAATTCATTTCCTGGGGGTGCTGTAGCACAGTGTTGCACTCCTGGCAATCCCTAGCATTCTTTGCCTGTAGACACATTGTTCTAATCTCTGCTTCCATCTTTACATGGTTTTCTTCTCTGTGTCCTTTTTCCTACTCTTTTCTCTTAAAAATATTTGTCGTTGAGTTTTTGACTCATCCTGTTAAGGAAAATCTCAACTCAAGAACCTTACTTTAATTACATCTGAAAAGATTCTTTGTCCAACTAAACTCACAGGCTGAATCTTTCTGAACCTTTCTCCCCCAAATTCATGTTCTCTCTCCCTCCGTCCGTCCCTCTTCTTCTTTCTTTATTTTTTAAAGATTTATTTATTTATTTGAAAGGTAGAATTGTGGGGAGAGAGAGATCAAGAGATCTTCCATCACTGGTTCACTCCCCAAATGGAAGCCAGGAGGCTGGAACTCCAGCCGGGTTGGCAGGGACCCAAGCACTGAGGTCATCTTCCCCTGGTTTCTCAGGCACGTTATCAGGGAACAGGGTCAGAAGTAGAACAGATGGGAGTTGCACGTTGCCCCTGCTCCCTCTTTTCTTCCCTCTGTATGAGTACATGAAAAAAAATAACCATATCTGTAGATGTTTACTTTTCAGTTCAGTTCATTAAAATATATATAGCACATGTATGGACTACTTTGTTTAAAAAATTACTGAAAATAACACCTGTTGAAAGAAATCAAAGAGTACAAAGGTTAAGGTGTGGTAACTTCATTCTCTAAATCAATTCCAAAATGAACAACCATTTTAACCTGTATTATTAAATAATTGTCAGGGCTTTTGCTTTCAGAGAGATAAAATTAAAAACGTTTTGTTGTAAAACTTGAAATTATAAGATTCTGTAATATCAATGATGACAGTATTTGTTACTGTTCTTTACTTTCAGTTTATGAAGGAGTACTATTCTCCCATTTAGGTATATGACAGTATGGGTAATTGAAATATTAAAATACTTTTGGATTGGTTGATAAATGCTGACTACCAAGAGTCCTCCAGGTATAGTTCCTAATTACTCGTAAGTCAGTGACTAAAATGTTAGTGTCTGGCAGAGCAGGAGGTCTCTAAGACTCACTGGTAACCCTGAGACTTACTGGGTAGTTTCCTTACCAAATATAATTGCCTTTTCTGTACCACTGTTAACTTCCACATTAGACCTGACTCGCATCTAGGGTGGTCCAGGGTGAGAATGAGGGAATAAATACCCTTGCCTGCCAGCCTTGTATACTTGCCAACTACTTTTCAGAGGACTATATACTGTACCTATGACTGTGAAGTATTTTGAACATTATCCCTGAAATATACTTAATGCTACAGGAGATTTAAGGTTTATCAATGAAGTTAAGATACTATCCAATAGTAGTTAGATAAGAACAATAATTGGTGATATACCTCCTCTAACTCCTGCTGCTTCTCAAAGTGTACACCTGCAGGAAGATGGAATTGGATGTGAAGCTGGGACTTAAATCTTCAGTATAAGATGAGGGTGTCCCAAGCAGTGTTCTTAACAGTAAAAACATTAAACACATTAAACATTAAAAACATTTTTATTTTATTTATTTTAAACACATAGAAATCATTTTAAAATGATTAAAACAAACAAATAAATAAATAAATAAAATGTGGTCTGAGGAAACCCAGGGTTTCCTGAATTACTATTTAATGGGTTTTATAAAGTTAAAACTGTTTAACATTGTTATTTTCTTTCACTCTCATTTTCATAGTGTTTTCTAGAGGCTATATGAGTATGGGGATATTCACAGTAGCAGCTAATAGAATAAGTACTTTGTATTCTTGGAAAAATTTTCAGTTTCAATTTCTAATATAAGAAATATTGCCAGATATAAAGTACAAAAACAAAAGACATTTGAGGCCTCATTAATTTTAAGGAGTACAATGTAGTCCCAAAGCCAAAAAGTGTTTTGAGAGCCACTATCCTAGGGAAAAATTCTTTATACGTAAGGGGTCATCAAAAAGTTCTTGAAACCTGTCTTTTACAAAACTATGCGTGGATTCCCAAAAGTTTTTGCAAATTTTGTTTTAAGTTATGTTTTCCACATGCTTGTGAAGTGGCCTCAGACGGCATTAAATTCTCTTCGAATTCTATATCCAGCCTGGTTTTCAACCTTCAACACTTACTTCCCAGTGAAACAATAACTAGACTATTTTTGGTTTTTATAAAACTAACATTGCTCAAACAACATTTTCTGAGTTGAGTGTTGCTGTTCATTCAGTGATACTATTTAGATTTTCTTATGAATTTTCTCTTCTTCATAATAGGGTCCTCAATCCATTGAAATGTATCCAAATCTTACCCATTTCAAACCCTGTGAGTTCTTTATTTCCTTTGCCTGAGTCATATAGCACCATTCCTTTATATTCATAAAATAATATCTTACATATAAAATCTGTACTTTGGGACCTGATTTAGTCGTAGAAATCTGGATCACTCTCAGAATTTTGATTCATCTTGTACTATATCCAGCTACGTTACTGATGCTAATGAAAGGCTGCTTATACAGAGACAAGGGAAGTAACATTTGAATTCAAATTATGAGCTAGTCACTATGCTAAATGCACATGTGCACCTGCCGTCAATTCGCACAAAATTCTATTGGGGAATGTCTCTGTTTAACTAACAGATATAGAACATAAAACTCACATAAATGTGTCATGATTTATACTCCTGTGTATTTTCAAAAGGTTTATCAACATTTGGTTTTTACCCCATTTGCTGTTTTCTGCACTTTGCTAGACAGATTCTGAGACCTTGGTCAATATTTGTTGGTTGTGTAAAGGGCAGGGACCATGCAGAGGAATAGTGTATATACTGAAACATCTTTCTTGTGCCTGTTCTTCATTCTTCTTCAATGCACACTAATACTAGAGATTTGTAGACTTGACACTGGCCATGTAATTACTAACGATTTTACCCTGTCCTATCATTTGCACAGACTATCACAGATTAACAGAATGTGCTGCTATCACTGCCTTTTTACATTGTGCTCCTCAGAGAGTAAAGCAGGAAAAAGTTTGAATGTATGATTTTCCTTATTTTTCAATTTTATAACTTTTAATAGCTTTTGAATTATTCCCACTGTATTTTTTTGGTAAATAAGGTTCCCAACAGCTAGCACTGATGAAATTAAATACCTTTTTTTTAAAAGCTTCCTTTTTTCCCCCATTTTCCCCTCGGTTTCTTGGCATGATTAATTTATCTTTTGAGAAATATGGGCGGGCAAATTAATTTCATTTGCGAATTCTTTATCATGGTATTCTGATCATATTATTCCTTTGCTCATAAACTTTCATTGCTCCTTTATGGCATATCAAATTACATCTAACTACCTAGATTATTAAGAGTCCTGTATCAATTAAGTACAATACAAGACACGCTCTTTTGTGGTTCAGTACAGATTGTCAAATCTAGCAGCAGTTAGGATTTCATTGAGGGTTGAGTGTGAAATTCTTTTTACAAGACAGAATTGCATAATTCTAAAATTTACCATCAGAGGAAACAGTGTAGACAACCAATGACTTTTTAGTATATAGCTATAACTATTTTTTGTACAAATCTGATAAAGTTAGGTTCATCATCAGTTAAAACACTGATCTACTTTTTCAACCTTATTTTCTATTATTCTATATTTACATTTAACATTGATTTCAGACTTCTAGCAGTGCTGAGGTCACGTTGCCCTGATTTGTAACTCTCTCAATGTAATTTTTTTTTTAGTGTATATTCAGTCATTTCACTGAGAATATATATATAATACATATACTTATAAGTGAAGGGTGGCATTGATGGGGAGATGGACACAGGCATTAGGTTGCAATTTTATTTGGATATCTGTATTATCTTATAGTTGATACCTTTCTGCACAAAATCAAAGGATGTCTTTATTTCACTTCTATTCCTGAAGGACATTTTTGCCGGGTCGTCAGTTCTTTTAGCCCTTGAAAAATACTTCAGCATTTTTTTTCTGGCCTCCAGAATTTCTTAAAATAAATTCACTGAATTCAGTTTGTTGTTACTTTATGGGTAGAATGTTTGTCTTGGGCTGCTTTCAAAATGCTTTCTTTTAGTTTGTATAAGTTTGATTATGATGTGCTTAGGTGTATATATATCCTTAAGTTTATGCTGTTTAGTCAGCTTCTTCAATCTGTAGGTTTATGTCCCTTATCAAGTTTGACAAGTTTTCAGTCTTTATTTCTTCAGGCTGTCACACTTCTCCTCTGCTTGGACTCTACTGAAAAGAACGATAGAGCTTTCCTTTTTCTCTCACAGTACATGAACATCTTTTT